TTTAAAGATCAAAGTTGATAATTCTAAGATTAAAGTCGACAATTCCAAGATCAAAATTGATAATTCAAAGATTAAAGTCAACAATTCCAAGGTGAAAGTTGATAATTCAAAGATTAAAGTTGGAAATTTCAAGATTAAAGTTGACAATTCCAAGATTAAAGTCGACAATTCTTCCTTAGAAGTTCCTGTCTAAAGTCAGCCTCATATAAATAAAGGAACAAGTCGGCAAGAAGAGGAGCACAGTTGGTTCCCATTGGAATACCGATTGTTTGTTGAAAAACACGTCCACCAAACGTAACAAATATGTTGTGAATAAAACAATCAAGCATCTTGATAATGTCAGTTTCAGAGAATTTTTTGTTTCAATCAGAGTGATTTTTTACAAGGTCAGATTATCTGTTTTCTTTCTTTGTCGTAAATTCCTCCGCTTTTTGGGGCACAACAGAATGTATGTATCTGTATAGCTGTATGCAACGGAATATATAAATATTTTGACAACATATTTGGTACGTTTGGAAGACATGTTTTTCAACAATCATTCAGCATCCCATGGGAACCAACTATTTGCTCCTCTTCTTGCTGCCTTGTTCCTTTACTCATATGAGGCTGACTTTATACAGGAACTTCTGAGGAAGAAAGAAAAGAAGTTAGCAGTATTCTTTAACTTTACTTTCCGCTATATAGAGGATGTTCGCTCACTAAATAATTCAAAATTTGGTGACTATATTGAACGTATCTATCCCATCGAACTTGAGATAAAGGATACAACAGATACAGTTAAGTCAGCCTCATATTTTGACTTACATCTAGAAATTGACAATGAGGGTCGGTTGAAAACAAAACTTTACGACAAAAGCGATAATAATTTAGCTTCCCAATTGTGAACAGGGGCGAATGCAGTATTTTGTCACGGGGAGGTCACCGTACGAACCCTTATAAAAAACAAATTTTGTTTTATTGATATTAATGTCAAGAAAATAGTAACAATAATGCATATGGTTAAACAGGACTAATAAAATTGATTCCAATTTCATTTTTTGTGGATTTCTGCGTACAAACGTGTCAACGATCATGTCAAGTTGTAAATGCAAATTATAATGCACGTGCATCCGCCAATTTCTATTAAACAGTCTGTTCTTTCCTGCGTATTTCTTTACGGGAAAGTTAGTTTGTTCCTGGCTGAAAATCATTCCATGTCAAATAAATTTTTTGTTCAATTGTTATTTGATGTGTTGATTGCTTCACAAGGCTAATGTCGGGGGTTGTTTCATCACAACAATCGCCATTATTGCTCGTATCAATGCTAGGTCTATTACGAGTCGTTGGTACTTCAGAAAGGGCTGATTTGTGGCGTTTCCTGAAGGACAGAGTGTAAAAGTTACAAAAAATGTAAAATGCCCGAATTTGTAGGATTAAGAATGTTAAAAGACTAAAAAAATCGGGTCTAGTGTAACATATCCAACACTCGCCATAAGATTCTAAAGAGGGTTTTTTCTTGAAGGGGCTTGGTTTTTTGGGGGGTATTTGAAGTAACTAAAACTTGCATAGGTGATTTATGTAAAAAATTGACCCAAAAACTAGTGTTTTCTTATCCAAAGAATGTTTGATTCCGGCTAGTGTACTTTATCCGAACTTGAAGGATGAAAATTCCTAGTGTTTAATATCCACAAACAAAAATTAAATTTTGAGTTTTGGCATCACAGTAGAAACCATCAATGGTCAGGAAAGTTGCCATACAAATTTTAAACTTTTAAAATTTAGATAAACGTAATATAAATAAAATTAATAATTACTTACTGAAAACATCTAAGATCTCTTCAGTTTCACTCCTACACATCAAAGGAACCGAAGAAATTAACGTTCGTTAAACCTGTATACAAGTACAAGGAACATATAATCAGCAATTAAGATGTCAACATACATGCAGATCTGAAATGTTATTCCCAGTGATAGACAAATTAATAACTTAATCAACATATAGTAATAAAGTATACATGTGCACCATTGTTGTACATGGTGCACCATTTTTGTCAGTTTAAGGGTATATATATACACATCCACGTTCATTTTTTCTATATAGAGGTTAACTCCTAACTATCTATTGCCTGTCGATACTTTTATTTTTGGCATTGCACAAGTCATGTCTCCTTTGAATACCCATGACGTTAAAATACTAAATCCCTGGGATGCGTTTTAGTTGATTTTAGTCTCTGATGCATGATTTTTTATTATTAATTGTTTTTGGCTTTTAACTAGCTTTCAGTAACTGCTAGAAATTATAAAATTATAACTATAAATTTTCACTTCTGTTCTCGTACTATGAACAACAAAATTATTTATTTTGTAAAAAATATTTCCGTTCTCCCATGTATACTGTATAACTCACAACAAAATTATTTTCATTAACCTGTGTTCATTATTCTATTTGGCGGCATTTTGTTCAAGGTTATGGTTGTTTTTCTGAAATTGTTTAACATCTAACCCCTTATTTTATTGATTTTATATTTACATTGTGTCATAGATCAAATTTATTCGTTCAGTGTATGTTCACTTGTGTTAATATGTCTTTTGGTTGAGTTGAGCCATTTCAATTGATATTTTATAATGTGTCTTCCTATGTTGTGATGTTACACTATTGTTTCAGAAAAAGGTGAAGGTTGGTACCTATTAAAACGTTTAAACCCGCTCCATTTGTTTGCACTTATCCTAAGTCAGGAATCTGATGTTCAGTAGTTGTCGTTTGTTGATGTGGTTCATAAGTGTTTCTCGTTTCCCGTTTTTTATATAGATTAGACCGTTGGTTTTCCCGTTTGAATGGTTTTACACTAGTCATTTTGGGGGCCCTTTATAGCTTGCTGTTCGGTGTGAGCCAAGGCTCCGTGTTGAAGACCGTACTTTGACCTATAATGGTTTACGTTTACAAATTGTGACTTGGATGGAGAGTTGTCTCATTGGCACTCATACCACATCTTCTTATATCTATAATGGGATCATGTGCACCGGGTGACTACCTCCTGGATTCGCCTTTAGTGAACTTTCGATTTCTATATACCAACATTCCAGCAGCGCCTGCATACGGAGTATATATCTCCCAGTAAATACGATATTCCAGCGCTTGTATTTCCTATCATGATTTCCTAGATATTCATATATATATACATTGCCTAAATTTTAATAATTCAATAATTTAAAATGAATAGCTATTATTATAACAAATGTTTCATCATAATATTTTCTATGAAATACGACTTCTTTTACAAGATTCGTTTAAATAATATGAATCTGCCTTTGTAACACATGTTGTATCTTAAATGTTAAGTATCTTGATATAAACAACTTAACCTCTGCAATATGTATTATGTCACTCAAACGTTCCATTTTCTTCAACGGCCATCTCCAGAAGTCGGCTGCCAAATTTTTAAGTAAGTTTTATGTCATATTTTGTGAAATACATAGTCATGGTGCTGTCTATTCATTTTGTTTTGTGGAGTAATCAATGGTCAGTCGAATGCTTTCAAAATTTCTGACTTTAAACTTGGTCAAGCGTCCTTGAAAGAGGGTTGCTGCTCACAAGGAAGCTATTAAACTAAGAGTTCCAAATTGTGAAGCTGAAATCATTCCTTCGTAAATTTTACGGACGCCATGACGAGTTGGTTGACCATTATGGAATATCCGTTACACAGATGACGACGAAAATTTTCCAATTGTCGTAATTATTTCCCCGGTCCCTTTTCCCCGAATTTGACCTACCGAATTAAGACTTATCATCGGGTTTGTACTTACATTTGCAACACGACGGTTGCCACATGTGGAGCAGGATCTGCTTACCCTTCCGGAGCACCTGAGATAAGTTTTTGATGGGGTTTGTGTTACTTAGTCTTTAGATTTCTATGTTGTGTTTTGTGTACTGTTTGTCTGTTTGTCTGTTTGTCTTTTTCTTTTTTAGCCATTGCGTTGTCAGTTTGTTTTCGACTTATGAGTTTGAATGTCCCTTTGGTCTCTTTCGCCTCTCTTGTACATATCTATAAGAAAAATTCAAATGAGTCAAATAAGTTACTTTAATCATCAAAGATGGCTTCCAATGTTATTGATTTTGTAACTCTCACTTAATCAGAAACATAACAATCTATTTTCTTTTCAGATGGTTGATTTTAGGTAAGGGTTGATAGAAGGGCGATATATTTTATAGACAGTTGCCTTTTAGACATGAGCAAAATCGCGAAATCATTGATCTGATTTAACACTGATTTATCATATGCATTAGCTGTTATGCATAAAGAAACACTTATATTATACAAAAACGAATTTTAAATGTAAGATAGTAGTCTGTGTTAATGAGATTTGATTCGTGGTTAAGTTCATAGTAAAACAAATATTCTAATAGAATCCTCTTTTTGTTACCTGTTAATTATTGTTGATGGATTTTTCTTATGGATTGGATGCATTTGCATTTCCGGTTCGATGTTTACTGTGTTTCAATTTTTGTTTTTATTTTATTTTAGCCTTCCATCGTGCAAATGGGAAGAGTTTAAATCCAACAAAACTTTCTAACCCTACTGCATTTTATTTGCGTTTTATTTGCACCTCTCCCAAGTCAGGAAACATGGTCACAGGTATGTGGTTGTCTCCTTACATTTTTTAGTTCCTCGACTATATCTTTAATTATTATATAAAGTATTATGTCCGCTATTTGTCATCTTGGTTATTCTGTCGGGATCATTTAGGGCTTGCTGTATGGTATGGGATTTCCTACTTTGATAAAGATCGTGTGGCGCCCCCTAGATGTGAAATTTAGGGCTGTTCAGTTTGGAAATGGGATGTTGTCTCCTTTACATGTACTCCATATCCGTTCTTTTTCATTCTCATTTGGCAGATTTGCCATATATCTACAGTTATTGAAAACCAAAGACCTTAAAAGGCTTAAAGGCCACACTCTGAAATAAAAGGGAAGTTGAGAATATAATTTCAAATCACTCTACAACAACGACGATTAGTAAATGTAAACTAGCATTAAAAATTTATACTAATAAACATGACACATGCATTCACCGTATGGTATTTATAATTTTTTTAAATCTTGGACAGATGACAGAGTCTTTTCCCAAGCTTGTATAAAGAGCAGGTCACCTATATCTATATATTTTCTGACATATAACTGTTCATACACTTCTCTGATCGTATTTAAATTCTTAGCCTCAGAACTGCTAAGAAACTCAATCAGCTGATTGCTTTTTTCGTATAAATCCATCTCAGCATTAAAATCTTTGAGTATGTTATGTGGATTTCGTTCCTGGAAAACACAAGGAGGTAAAAAGGCTAGATAAATATTTGTCTTATGAAGGAAAAACTGCGCAATGTAGCTTCTCCAAATATCACTAACACGTCCATTTACGCTTACTGGAAGAGGCATCAGATGAAATGATGATGAGAACCACAACGTAGCCTGTGCATTAAATGGTGTATACGAGTGTCTTGGAATTAACAGTGCCCTTTCATTGTTGTTTGTAATACTGAAATTAAAAGGAACTTTCCTTGTAAGTCTATAAATAGCATCGACATCTGGCTGTTCGTTTGCAAGTGCTTGCATTATTCCAACTTGTTGTTGTTTTTCTACATTACATTCTTTTGGTATTGTTCTGTAGTCTTTAATAAATTGCAATGGAAATCCTCTAGGCCACGAATATGTCTCGTTTACTCCAAAATATGGATATGGATTAACAATCTTAGTCACATATTTAGTGCATACCTCAGCATAATCGGTGGCAGTGCTGATGGAATTAAACTTTATTGTGTCTACTATTCCAATGTTATCGTCATCAAAATCCCATATAATTTTTGCTTTGTGCTGAATGGCATAGATATAACCAATATTCTTTCTACTAAAGTGATTAAATGGAATTGCATCGGCTAACATTGGGTAACGTTGTTTCTGCTCGACTATTGTTAAATATTTTGTGTTCTGATTTGACAAATGTTTAAGATAAATGTTTTTTGTTGGTGTTTTAATATCAGCAACAACTAGGAGACACCAATTACGTAGTTTATCTATAAATTGTACAGCTTTTGATGGAGGATATATCGTTGTGACTACTGCCCAGTTATCACATGGTTTCTCTTTCGGGTTAGGTGCCATGGACCAATAGTTTTTCAGAGGAACTACTGGTAAACTTCTGATCACATTGCCAGAAAAGAGGGAACCAGTAACAGCACCAGCTATCGTACCATTAAAATCATAGACTCTTGTCTTATGCGAGTCTTTTGTTTCAATGTAACTCGTTGGACCTATATTCTGTTGGAATTTTACTGGACTGGTTTGCTCTTGCAATTTGTACATTTCTAACGGGAGAGCTTTGTGAAGGAGCACATTATCTACACAAGAATCTTTATTAATATATTTTGCAAAAACGTGTTCTCGATCTTTACGTCTCCATACCATTACAATTCTTTTATCATCAGCATGTGTGTCAACGTCATTGTATATGGAAAGCCAATTATACAGCGCTACGTGGGCAAAGTTGTGGTCAACTAAATCGTTATGACTGTTGCATTCCGATTCACCGCAATATTTCCTTTCCACAATTCTTTTTATTAAGTCCATTCCAAGAACTACAAACATTTCATCAATTTCAGGTGCATTCGACGTTGTTCGTCTCCAACCATAGTATAATGTTGGTGATAAGAGTTCGTATAACCTCGCTGTCAGTTGCGGAATGCATAAAAACACATCATCATCCATCTTTGCTGCTATTAAAGCATCTGGGAAGTTTGTATGAAGATATTTCAACCATTTGAACAGTTTCTCACCGAATTTAACAGCCCATCCATGGTGAGTCACGTTCAGATACACAATATCGTTATATAAATAATTTTCATGAATTGAGGCATTAGACGGACGATCAAAAACAAACTTGTAAGCAATACGGAAAGGAAGCTTGTCTGCATATTGGACCATTGTCGAAATCCATGTCTTCCTTTGTGCCGCCCTCCGGTCAGCAGTGTAATCAGAGGTTAAAATTCCAATTACAAAAAGAGGCTTATGTTCTGTTTCTATATTGTACACAATTTGTTTTCTAACGGATATTCCTACTTTCCAACTTATTTGAAATAAAAACAAGATTACAAATAGAACGATGACACATTTGATATATATTAATTTCGTCCTCGTCTTGTGCAACATGGTCCCTGAAAAAGCAAAAAATATATATATCTTGATATGAGAATTTTGCAACGGAAAGATTGATAAATATTGTGTTGATTTAGCAGAAGATTAGTTTTAGCTATAGTTTGGTGCCACCACCAGCATATTAAGTTGAACGTTGAGTGCACCTCTAGGTGAAGATATTAATTTGCACGTAAACATTAAGCTCATACTCAGAAAAGGGATGCAGATCTAATGATAATTATTTAAACAGCCACAGTGTAGTTGTATGTTGGGACAGCAATATCTGGCGTTAACTGGGCTTACTACTGAGTATCTGACAATTATGTTAAACGAGTTAACCTTACTGTCCTGAGCAAAGGACGGTTCGCTTTTAGAGTTTTTTGGGGGTTTTTCTTTGCAACATGCTTTTTAACGAGATAGTCTTTGAATTGTTAGAGATAAATTTGTATTTCCATTTTGATTGATCTTATATATGATGAAATTTCTGCGAATGTGATCACATTACAAAATTCCACATTTTTTGTTATCATAAATTCTCTAGATCTTCTCTATTACGTATTAACATCTTATCATAACAATTGTTATCATTATATATTAAATTTTTGCTATATATTTTTTTATTGATTTAAACGTCACACACCTACTAGTCCTCACAAAAAAAATGAAATGGAATATATATACTGATAAAAACGTTCTTTTTTCTATAAATGAGAATCTTCTTATAACATTATGGCCTCGTCCCATGGAGTCAACTGCATTTAAGTTACCACCGATGCTACCTTTTATGATTATCATACAGATAGGAGAGAGACATTGCCACATATATATTTGGCCTGTCAGCCAGTCCCAAAGTGTAAAACTTCATGTCCGCCTCAATTTTTAATATCGTGAGCGGCTTAAAGATTAACTTAAGAATTAAAAACAAAATGGTTAAAATCACTGGGTTTTATAAAAGTGGCATTAGCTACGATTTAGACAAAAAGATGAAATATGATTTTTTTTTTGTTTCAACCTTATAATAAAGCGGTTTATTGAAATAATATTTCGTTATTAGCCGGCAGTTTGGTACGAAAACCTATTAGGGTCACACAAAAAAATATATTTATCTCGTAATAACGAGATAAATATCTCGTAATTTCGAGAAAACTATCGCGTAATTACGAGATAATTATCGCGTAATTACAAGAAAACAATCGCGTAATTACGAGATAAGAAGTTTTTTATCTCGTAATTACGAGATAATTGTCGCGTAATTATCGCGTTATTACGAGAAAACTATCTCGTAATTACGAGATAATCATTTTTTTATCTCGTCATTACGAGATAATCATCGCGTAATTACGAGAAAACTATCGCGTAATTACGAGATAAAATAAACTGCTTCGCTGAGTGCAGCTGGATACGCCCGCAGAGGTCCAACCCTGAACAGTTGGGGCAAAAATGGACACAATATTCAAGCTTGATACAGGTCTGAATTTGGATTGTAATTAAATATTTGATATACTATAGGTTTCTGAATAAATGTAGTCAAAGAACTTGAAATTGGTTATATGAATTGAATTTATATTCAATTGAAGATTTCTTGATGTTGTGCAATACACTGTGCTGTTGCGCAATACTTAGCAAATCTGTTGTCAGACTATAAACAAATAAAGTTCAATTAATTCTCAATGTCATATTAGAAATTTATGAAAACTGGAAAACCACCCCTTTTTTAATGAATAAAACCCAATAACTCAGAAATGATAAATGAAAAATTTTTAAAATTCTAAACAGATCTTACATCAGTAAATATAAACAATTCACAAAAGTTTTATAAGAACTGCTGAAAGCATTTTTAATTTTTGTCCGAAAACTGGAAAATCCCCCTTTTTTATGAATAAAACCCCATAACTCGGAAACGTAAAATCTCAAATTTATAAAAAACGAAAGGGAGCTCACGTCAATAGACATAAACAATTCACCAAAGTTTTATGCAAATTAGTTAAATGTCCGACCTGTTGACGACGGACGGACAGACAGACAGACGGACAACGGTATACCATAATCAACCCGTAAACAGGCGTATAAAAATGATTATCTCGTAAATAAAAAAAATGATTATCTCGTAATTACGCGATAGTTTTCTCGTAATTACGCGATGATTATCTCGTAATTACGAGATAAAAAAAATGATTATCTCGTAATTACGCGATAGTTTTCTCGAAATTACGCGATAATTATCTCGTAATTACGAGATAAAAAAGGATTATCTCGTAATTACGCGATAGTTTTCTCGTAATTACGCGATAATTATCTCGTAATTACGCGATAAATATTTTTTTTTTGTGACCCTAATAGGCTTTCGTAGTTTGATTCAATTTTGTCAAAATAAACTAAAAAAAATGTAAATGCTTGCAAGTCAATAATTTAACATCATTTGAATCCGTATTCATGCAATTTTTAATTTGACCCTGGGTTACGCATGAAAATGAAACACACAGCCATTTAAACATTTTCCACACTTTCCACACAGCCGAAATGTTCAATTTGGTTCTTAAGATTTGTTAGACGTAACAAAACAAAGTATGTCGTATGTCGTATGTCCTATCTTGGTCTGAAGGAACTTCATAACTGGTATACACTCAAAACAATTAAAGAGTTTGCCATATTTTTGAAAGTCACTGTTTAATGAATTCAAAACTTTTCTAGACGCGAGTAATTAAGAGATTGACACATTGAAATGGCAAGTATCTATCGTTGATTTTCGTTAATTATGAGGTACGGAAGGGAGTAGGAACTGAAATGTTTATCTGGCAACGACATTTTTATTTTAAGACTGCATGCTAATCTCTATTTTTTTTATGTTTTTGTGTTGTTGGGTTGTAGTCTCAATAGAAGTAAATTAAGAAAACAATAAATGTTTTCCATCAAATGTTTTTGCCAAGAGAATGAATAGCAACGGTATGACAATATCGCGGAAAAAAAATCCTCTGGAGAGGGAAATAAACACATTAGTGTACAAGGAGAAAGCCGAAAATAACCTGCAGACTTCATAAATACATTGGTGTACAAGGAGAAAGCCGAACATAACCTGCAGACTTCATAAATACATTGGTGTACAAGGAGAAAGCCGAAAATAACCTGCAGACTTCATAAACACATTGGTGTACAAGGAGAAAGCCGAAAATAACCTGCAGACTTCATAAATACTTCTGTAATAATCGTAAAACTTAAAATCACATATTAGAAAACAAATATTGTTTTTTTTTTCTGATTTTTATTGTACTTTTACGCGGTTGTTACAAAAAGGAGCTGTAAAATGATTTCGATATCTTTTGAATTCATGTAAATATATTTACCTTCAATGTAGACTATTCAAAGTTAATCCATTGAGTTGTTAATTTTCAATTCACACGACATAACAAAATAGGATATGAAATCAGATTTGACAACGATACCGGTTTACATTCACACATATTGCGGATTAAATGCGTATTTTTTAATCCGAAGTCAAGCCACTTGAGGAAGATAGTTTGACCGTTGACATCCTATTTCAGCTAACATCGGATTTGAGTGAGGAATAAAATATATGTGATCGTAAATGCATATCATAATATTATTTATACAGTTACTGTCTTTTATGGAGTAATTATGTGGTTGAATTGACAATGCGGCATGGGTCTTGCTCACTGTTGAAGGTCGTACGGTGACCTATAGTTGTTAATGTCTGTGTCATTTGGTCTCTTGTGGAGAATTGACTCATTGGCAATCATACCACATCTTCTTATATTTATATTTGAATATCTGTTTTTCAAAAGTTAATTAAACTACATATTTACTGAAACAGAAGATCGTTCTTTTTTTATTCCATATTTTGAGGGAAAACAATATAATTGATGACAATTATTTACCAAAAGCAGGAATACATCAAACCTTTTGAACTCAACTCCCTACTAGAACTAAGGACAGCTCCTGACCAGAACTAAGGACAGTTCCTGGTCAGACCTAAGGACAGTTCCTGACCAGAACTAAGGACAGTTCCTGACCAGAACTAAGGACATTTCCTGACCAGACCTAAGGACAGTTCCTGGTCAGAACTAAGGACAGCTCCTGACCAGACCTAAGGACAGTTCCTGACCACAACTAAGGACAGCTCCTGACCAGAACTAAGGACAGTTCCTGACCAGACTTAAGGAAAGCTCCTGACCAGACCTAAGGACAGTTCCTGACCAGACCTAAGGAAAGTTCCTGGTCAGAACTAAGACAGTTTCTGGTCAGAACTAAGGACAGCTCCTGACCAGAACTAAGGACAGTTCCTGGCCAGACCTAAGGACAGTTCCTGGCCAGACCTAAGGACAGTTCCTGACCAGAACTAAGGACAGTTCCTGACCAGAACTAAGGACATTTCCTGACCAGACCTAAGGACAGTTCCTGACTACAACTAAGGACAGCTCCTGACTAGAACTAAGGACAGTTCCTGACCAGACTTAAGGACAGCTCCTGACCAGACCTAAGGACAGTTCCTGACCAGACCTAAGGACAGTTCCTGGTCAGAACTAAGACAGCTCCTGGCCAGAACTAAGGACAGCTCCTGGCCAGACCTAAGGACAGATCCTGGTCAGAACTAAGGACAGTTCCAGGCCAGACATAAGGACAGTTCCTGGTCAGAACTAAGGACAGTTCCTGGTCAGAACTAAGGACAGTTCCTGGTCAGAACTAAGGACAGCTCCTGGCCAGAACTAAGGACAGCTCCTGACCAGACCTAAGGACATGTCTGCTTTTGACAGGATATCGCTTTTAACACATTTCAAATCAGACTTGACCTTTGTTGGTATTAACGATATTCGGACTGTTCTATTTTCCAGTACAGCAAAGTACTATACTCCTTACACTGTGACTCTAT